GATACTAAGTTAACAATTAAATGTTTTGTTGAGTGTTGAACACAAGATTGTGTTATTAATTAAACACTTGGCTTTTTTCCATCTTTATTCAGTTGATACGGGTACTTCTACATGTTTTGGGCACTTAGCCCCTCATCAGTCAACTTGTATTCTTGCGATGTATGTAGTATCCATTTGTTGAACTGTTTCAGAAAACACGGCAAACATTTTTTAATACTGGTTGGAAAAAAATACTGGTATATAATTTATAGAATTAAAAATCATGATATTCCTGAAATAAAGATTTCAAAAGATTTTAAGCAGAAAATTATACTTATATACAAGTAAATTATTTTAGTATTTACAAAAAAGTTTTTAATACCAATATCTTTACACTTTATTTATTTCCATGTTTAAGAGAACTGGTTTTTATTATATTATTTTTTTATAATACAATGTAGCATGGAGTCCAGATTTTGGAAGTATTGTAATTTAAAAATTTCCAAGGATTTTGAATAAAAGATGTCATATCTCTACTTAAAATTCATTACTTTTATTCTAATATAGAATTAATTTCTGCTTTACAACGGATAGTTAGTTTTCTAAAGAATACGTGCATGCATATATGTAAGTACTGTACTTAAAATGAAGTATTGAGCAGATTTAAGTCTTACATTATACGTACTGTATATTATTTTGTTTTTATATTGCATATTCAATAAAAAAAAACCTAAGAAACGTCAGAAATAACTTTAGTTTACCTAGATTGATACAATTTATATTGCATTATTTTCTTTTATTTTATTGGATTGTTTGGAAAGTAAGTTCGTTTTTTTCCGTGGAGAAAAAACACAAAATTTATATAATAAATAAATATTTTATTGAATTATATATCAACCATTTTGGTCAAATACCTGTTGGTATTTGACCAAAATGGTAGTAGCATGATTTAATATTCATAAAAGTTTTGATCATTGCTTACAAAAAACTAATTCAAGTGATTTTTGACATTGTCATTTCAAGTAAATGTCTTACTGAGTTACAGTTTAAAAAAAATTTGTATAGACCAGAACAAGTAATAATCTGAGTGTACTGATCTGGTGAATATGGTTGGTGTGATAGCACCTCCCATCTAGGTTATAGCAGTTTCTGACCAGTTACCAAACTTGTGTGAAATTTGACATTATCATGGTAAAACACTACACCTGTTTTGTTGATCAATTCTGGTGACCTTTTCTGTTTGATGATATTACTCAATTTGTTTACTCGACGGCAGTACGCTTTCAAATCAACTGTTAAATTGTCTGGTAAAAGCTCCAAAAAAATTTTCTTAAAATCCCACCAAAGAGATCATCTCTTTTTAAGAACATGTTGAACCCATATATCAAACTTTGAAACGAAACCAATTTGTTTCAAGTAATCATAAACAGTTCAATTTGACAAATTTAATCTCTTAGTGATTTCACATGTTATTTGGCAGTTTGCTTCAATCGGTACCTTTATTTTGTTTTCATTGGCTTCAACTGGCCATCCAGAATGTGGTGCATTTTCAATATTGAAATTGCCAGAACAAAATTTTGTAAACCAGTTTTAGTACTGTTGTTCTGTCAATACATCTTCTCCATACATGTCACACAATTTTTTTTCTCGCTTGAACAGCATTCTTACTTTTTCGGTAATAAAAGAGCAAAATATGCCAAAAATGCTGCTTTTGATCTTCCATATTTGATGGGACACAAAAAATAAACAATTGCACAAAATCTAACAAAATTTCTCACAAATAAGCCATAAAATGCTAGCTGTCAAAATATATAATGATAATACAGTTTAGAATGAAAATGGTGGGAAAAATACAACTAATCCGTCTAGTGGTAAAAAAACGAACTTACTTTCTGAACAACCTAATACTATGATATTTGGATTATAATACACAAGTTGTCAAATTTGTTTGCCTAATGAATATGTGTGTTACCAATTACATCTGATTCTGTCATCTGATTTTCACTTAGATAAGAACAGAAATTGTAGATTTTAATCTTATTCTGAGCCAATTTTTTTTTTCCAGAATTATTTAAATTACTTAATTAAAATTTAAAATTTGTAATTAATAATATTCGTATAAGATAGTGATTATCTTACAAATTGGACCAGATTTAGATATACAGTAAGGTCGAGACTCCACTAGCATAAAAACGAGTGTAAAAACTCTCATTGTAAAAGTTTTTAATCATGTGACAATGATAATTTACACTGAAGTAGGTCATAAAACCAGCATAAAGCGAGTTGAGCAGTGTTCAACTTTTGACGTGAATATGTCCATAAAATGGTACCATCCACCAATCAGAAGTAGGTGGAATCTAGGTCATTGTGACATGGTGTGAAAATGGCTGAAAATGAGCTTTTGTGTGTGTTCTCTCATGGCTGCTTAGAAAAGACCTAGAATAGATCTGGAAAGATTTATCAAAAACATCTGAAAGTATTCATGTATCTACGACAAGAGGTATCTCGATTATAATAATGGATAACTAAAACACGCGATATGGACGGCCAAAGGAAAATCCTTCAATTTAGAGGAGTATATAATAAAAAAGCTAAGCTTATAAGTGCTGTATATTATCTTAATAATACGATAATAAATAAAAGTTAATATATGAAAGTAAAGATATTATTTTTACTACATTTGTAATTATAGTACAGAAAAAACTCATAGAATGTAATTATTGTCTTTACATCGATATATCGTATACAACCGTAACTTTGATAGTACTTTCGAAGTAAAAACTTTGCTAGTGGAGCTGGACCTCCACTGCAATCCAAGCACAAATGCAAATAGGTCACGTGATTAATTAATTTTAATAATTATAAGTTTTTACGCTTGTTTTTATGCTAGTGGAGTCTTGGCCTAATACCTCAGTGTTTGTTGACTTCGGTTTTTGTCAACTTTTCTCGCAAAAAATTGCCTTGGTTTTCATCGGTTGCCTCAGATTTCGTCAGTGTGCCCATGTGACCTCACTGCTAATTTTGCTAAACCACGCGTTTTCTTGCTCAGTGTGGCATCATCTCTCATGTGAACATTACCGTGCGCATCTAGACAAACAATGGGCATATTCAAAATCTCATCGTGCAGCCAGCACTGCTCAGTAACTTTGTGTAAAATCTCAGATGTCTTCCAGTTGCTGCCAATGTGCTTCCAGCAAACTGCAAGCACCTTTTTCGGTGCTTCATACATCAGCAAACAAGATGGCAGCCATCATGATGCTTGTAAAAGCTCTATTTTGTGTCAATAATTTTAAATTTAATTTATTTGTTGATGAATAAACCCTGAATAAATTAATGTTCGGTTAGTACATATTATTTAAAATTCCTACAGAAATTTAAAAAATCTTCATCCCTATTTTTCTTTTTGAAATAGTCATTTTTCATTAAGCTGTTCTCATTAAATAAGTTCAAAAATAAATTTAACGTAACTTGAAAGTCCACATCATTGGCCATTTTTATTGTTTTTCTCTCCCAAAATTCCTGGCTGATTGCTGGGAATTTCAGGAGAGAAAAGAAAACTTTAGAAAACTAGAAAATGCCAGCAGTTGTGTCACTTCCAACAGCATCTCACTGGATTGATGCTGAGATTTTGGATACACCCAATATTATTGCTTTCCTTTCCTTTTAGCTTCATCATGGGAAATTCCATGTTAAATGTTCATTTATTCTTTACATTAGTCTTTTATATTTATTTTATATTAATTTATTATTGTTTTTAGTATTAAACACTATATTTATTCTCTATAAAATGGCCACCAGAAGCAGTATGATCTTTTCTATGCATTTGTTGTCATTTTGCAAGATTTGAAAAATTGCATTGTGCTCATAGTCAATAGGAATTATTTGCACATTTTTTTCTTTCACATTTTATAGAGAATTGTGTCTAGAATGAATTAATTGGATTTACATTGATTCATATGGGAATAATTGCCTTGGTTTTTGTCAGTTTCAGATTTCACCAATTGCTTTCGGACAGATTATCAACAAAAACTGAGGTATCACTGTAATTAATTAAAACTAAATTTCATATTTAGTTCAAAATTAATACATAATTTAGGATTGTTTTTATTTCATAGAATTTGATTGTTAGTTTGTATTATTGGGTTGCAAATCGAAAAAATTATAGACCTATAAATTCTCACTGTCATCTGTCCAACTGTTTGTCTGTTCTTTCTTAATCTCAAGAACAGTGATAAATGAAAGTTGAGACCAGATATGGATATCTTAAGGGCAGGAGGTTCTGATTAACAATATGCAAACTTTTAGTTTAGACTGAAAGTCACATGATTTCAGTTCATAAATTTTCTCCAAAATGGAGTTACATAGAATACCAGCATTACTCTGTTGTTATCAAGAAAAGTATGATGTACAGTGGCAAGACTCTACTAAAATGAAGAGAGCATATATTTTTAAATTAAATAAATTAAAACTAATATAATTATAATACAAATTGTAGCTTGGCATTGTGGTGATGTCACAATAATTGCTCATACATTCATGTTTTTTTTACTAAGACTGTAGTGTCACATATTAATCTTATTTAAATATATAAATCTGTATTTTTGTCATAAAAGATAAAAATCTTTTACATCACTTATAGTACATTATGTACTATAGAAATGAATTTAACATAATCAATTTCTGTAATATATATAATTTATAAATTTAAATAAATTTCATTAAACGGTTAACATATTAGTTATTGTTATAATTAAAAGGGTTTGATGAGATAGATCCTTTTAATAATAGCTGTAACTAACAGGCTAACCATTTCATGTGTAATTAACTTTTGGGTTAGAAGTGTATTTACTTTAATTATTAAATAAATTTATAAGTTGTATAGAAAAAATATTTTGTGTGCAATAATTTGTTTTGTTTTCAATTGTTGACTCCATGACTTAGTAGTTTAAATTAAATTAATTTAATAATTTAGCTGATATTTTTGCAAAAGTAATTAAAAATGTATAAAAATTAATTTTCAGGAAAGTGACAATTTATGGTGGGATGCATTTGCAACAGAATTTTTTGAAGATGATGCAACTTTAACGTTGACATTTTGTTTAGAAGATGGACCAAAACGTTACAGTAAGTTATTGTTTATTGACATTTATATATTTATTGTATGGAAGAAAACTTTACTGAAATAATAATAAAATCTCCTAAATTATCAAATTATTTGTTAACTTCTTTAAAAATTTTTTTATTAAATTTTCCCTATTTTATGGGTTTTGTATAACAGAAAAGAACAATAAACTAATACTACTACAAATAAATTTCTTTAAATAACTAAAAGATGTACAGTAATACCCCGAACTTACGCGATAGGTGGGACCGAGCGATAACCGCGTAAGTCGAATTCACGTAAGTCGGGGTATAATTTCGCAATTTGTGTAAAATCCAAGTCGGATGTATGTAAGATAATAAATGTTCTCATTAATTAATCTTATCTCGTCTTTTGATTTGTTTCCGGTTTCAAGAAATCACCACATAGAGTCTCTCGAGTCTCTGTAGATATAACAAACACAGAAATAAATAACACAAAATAAATTGTAGCTATGTGTCGATTCCGCATGACACGTCTGAATATGTAAGCCGAACAATAGTGTGGGGGGAGTGAGTAATCAAGAGTTGTGTGATGCTCAAACAAAAGACAAATCGACGAGATTTGAAAATCGCGTAACTCCGGGTTCGCGTAAGTCGAAGTATTACTGTATTGCATTTTGTTAAATATTTAGTGATTTAATAATTTATATATTCAATAATTAAATTTAAATAATTCACAAAAATATATCTCATCATATCTTTGGCACTTTTATTTAATGTTATGTACACTTATATTAAATTACATGTCTTGTTTTATTTTCTATGAAATTAGTTCATAAATCACAAATATAAATCTTACCTATTACAAAAAAACTGAAAACTTTAATAAAAGTATATAAATATGAAAATTAATTTTAAGCATCAAGCCTTATTTCACTCCAGAAAACAAAATTTATATACATAAAAGTTAATTTCATTTTATATATATATATTTATATATAATGACAATAAAATTTTTTATTTAAATCATAATCATAATTATATTTAATTATGTAATTGTTTTTAGCATTAATAAATTTTGTTTTGATTTTATATATATATGGTTTGTCTATAATCTAAAAAGTACACCTAATTTTCTTTTTATATTTGATTATTTTAAGTAAAAGCAAAAATAATAAAGCAATATTTGTAGTTAAAATATTATTCAGAATATTTTTAATGCAATTTTTAATTGTCTCTCGATATTTTACTTTCATAGAAATATAAAAATAAAATGACCTGATTTTAGAGTTTAAATCTTCAGTTGTAACAGTGAGTGAATGTATGTTTTGCCAGTTATTATGGTTATCTGGAAATCGATAAATAATTTCATAGATTTTAAACTGTAAATTTCTTTCTCAGAATATTCAAATTTATCACTGTTAAGGTATGTCCAGATTGTAATAGGAAAAATTAAAATTTTATCATGAGTTGTTCTATCTTGTGTGTATATCTAAAATTAAGTAATAGCTAATAAATTATTAAATCATTATCAGTTCAGCAGTTGGTAAAACTTATTTATAAGAAGTTTTTTCTAATTATTAAAACATTACATCAATCTGACTCAAATAAAATTATTCATTTTGTAAGTTTTAGATCAGGTAAATTTGATATTTTGCAATTAAATCCTTTGTCATTAGGTCATCTTTATTGACATATAATAGTACGATTCTTTTAGTGTTGTGCAATAAAGTAATTAGATATTATCTTAATCTGTTTATAATTTATCTGCACAAAATTATGATTTTTAAAATATTTTTTTAATTTATATGTGAAACATATATAAATGAAAAAATATTTATGTACTATAATTGAGCAAATCTCAGCTATATAACTACTAAATGTGATTTTTTTTGCATATATCTACATCTTGGCAAGGCCAATGTCATGACAAAGCTGGAATTTTGAAATTTGATCTATAGGCTGAGATATTCAAAGTTTACCATGTAAAGTCTATGGGCCAATTGCTTGTTGTAAGCTGGTCACATGCTATGTGTCAGTTGAGTTTTCAATTTCTGTCAGTTTACATTGATTTCTACAATAATTTTTTATTTTAGATTTACATCAATTTTCAACCATTTTTTTTTTTGCACAGTTTTAGTTTTCTAGAGAACTCAGTTTTGTTTTCCCAGAAAATACCTGGTTTAAATTTAATAATAAGGGAAATAATTGTTATATTATATAAATTTGAAACAGCATGTTTAATTATTTATATACTTTTACATTTCATGTTTTACAATTTAATAGTATTTTGTCTAAATATAAAAGTAATGAGTAATGTCGTCAATGATCAAAGCTGTAAAATAGGTTAGAATGCAGTTGAATGCAGAATGTCAGATCTTTAATATTAAATTTTAAACTTAATATCATTAACTAATGATATTAAGTTTAAAATGATATTAATGATATTACTATTATTAGTGTCTCAAAATGTTTATTGAACTGATGATTACCATCATCAGTTCAATAAACATTTTGAGACACTAATAATAGTGACATTATAGTCATTTATTTTGATATTTGATAAAGAAATACAAAATTAGAATAGATGAACTATTATAAACAAAACTAATGTTTTATTTTATTGATAAAGTATATTTATATTAATCAATGTTTAAAGTGACTGAGAATAATTTGTACATTTAGTAAAAACATTTTAAATACATTCTGTCAAAAATTATTGCATTTTAAACTTTAAGCATTAACATCAGTTATTATAGTGAATTAAAATTATCTTATTACAATAAAGTCAATTAATAACTATAATCATAGATAAACTTGATAGATTCTTGTAATAGTAAAATTTAGATCTTATAATACATGTTTTTTTTTTTGTTATCTTGTGTAAATGCTGTATTTCTGGAGAACAAAAGCAAAAAGTATTTTTTGAAAAAGTTTAGTTTTTTCCTATTTGTTTAAAAAATAAGAAAATATAAATATATTAAAAAATTTGTTAGAATATAAAAATTCTAATAATTAAAATAAAATAATCAGTTGAATATAAGCTAAAATTTTTCTTTAAGAAAAATTTCAGTATTTATTTTGAGTTTTGATTAGCAATATAATTTATTAAATAATTATCATTTTATATATGTATATATATATAGGAAATCTTTCTTAATTCAAACTCGGATAATTTGAAATCTTGTTAGTTTGTAACTGTACTATTTGTCCTGGTTGGAGATATAGAGAATTACATGTTAAGAAATTTGATTAGTTCAAAATATGGCTACTTTGAAATTTCAAGGGAAAATTCTGTCTGAACTGTGATATGCATACGTTAACCCATTCATTTAGATCAGTGTTTCTCAACCTCTAACGAATTGTCGCCCCCTTCAACATAGTATCGCCCCCTTCCATAAAACTGTTATGTAGTAAANAAAAGAAAACGTGTTGTATTATCATTAAAAGACAAATTAAAGTATTTGTTTCTATTAACCGGATTTTTCCTTATCCGGATTACCTTCATCCCCAATTGGTCCGGATAATCGAGGTTCTACTGTATATAAAACAGTGTTATAGTGGGTCGACTGTATTGTAAATCCGACATATATGGGACGGAACAGTGTCGGATTAAAGTGCTTGCTGGATTACTAAAAATAAGATGAAGTCAGTCGTCTTTTATTGGAATAAAAATAACTTATTTACATGATATTAGTACGTTCTAGTAATCGAAAACATACAGTAAGACAAGAAAATACGAAAGAAAAGCAATTAAATGTTATTGTGTTTTAGAGTTCTCAAATTAATCGTGAATCCTTTTAATAGAATTTTCAATTGTGTTCTGCCACTTCGTCCAAGCGCACTGCCATCATCATCAGTAACATTGCTGTCGAGTTTACAGATTCCCACTAAATTTAGTAGGAAATTCAGCGATGGTAGAAAGTTTAGTAGGAAGACAGCATTGGTGGGAAATTTCAGGAGACCAATTTTATATTTATACAGTATTGTTATAAGATACTGATTTGAACAGTCTAAGATGACAAGCTTAACAATCTTTAAACTAATATCATGCCAAAATTCGAGCATGATATCATAAGTCTACTAGTGTCGGATTACTGGACGTGTAAAACTAACCAACGGCTGGATTATCGATATGTGCTGCACGTGAAAAAAATTAACTTTAATAATTAGCAAATAAAATTTTTTTGTTAACGCGGAATCTATTGAATGACAGAATAATTATTAAATTTTTCAGAAAGAAAATTAATTTAGTTTTTTCTTTTATATTGCAGCAATTGGAAGAACACTTATTCCAAGATACTTCCGAAGCATATTTGAAGGTGGTGTTCCTTATTTTATATTTCAATAATTTTCTAATATTATTATTCAGAAAGAAAATTAATTTTGGATTTTCTTTTATATTGCAGCAATTGGAAGAACACTTATTCCAAGATACTTCCGAAGCATATTTGAAGGTGGTGTTACGGAACTGTATTTTAGTCTCAAACATCCTAAGGAGTCTTTTCACAATACTACAATTACATTGGATTGTGATTTGTGCACAATGGTAACTCATCATGGTAAACCTATATATAATAAGGTAAACATTAATAGCATTAATAATGTGCTTAATGGTTCTTTAAAGGTATATCTTAAATGCACATCTTTTGTTCTTCTCCTTCAATATTTGAAAAATATATAAATACATATATAAAGAATTATAGTGGTATTAAGTTTAATTTGTTGCATGTAGCAGATTACATCTGTTTTGATGTTGATCTTTTATAATAATTCATAAAACAATTACATAAGCGATAAAATATAACTTAATGATTAATCAAATCTAAGATAATAACATGCAATTCTATTAAAATTGAATAAAAAAGAAACTCTTAAATATAAAATCTATAATGCTATAATAAATGTACCACTTACTGTAATCAGATTTGCTATTACTTGTTTAATTTGGTCAGAATTTGCATATCTCAAAACAAGTAGTTAATAGCAATTATAAGTTACAATATTTAAAAAGTCTTGTATATATAATACTATAGTATCTATAGCTCTCATAAGCCAATGTACTGGGAAAGGTGATGTCTGGATATTTGGCTCTATCAATAAGATAATCAAGTCAATTATTTTTTCTGATTGTTTCTTTTAAAGTTATTGAATGTCAAAAAAAATTGATAAATTCTACACAGTAGAATTAAAGCTGTTTATAAAAGTCATACAAAAATATCTTATCTGTTGTAATTTAACATTATCGTAGTTTTTTGGTTAAAAAACTGTTTGTCAGTTTCTTTCAAACTTCATAAATATTTCTATTAATATGTACCAGTTTTGGCTGTTGGAAATTGGAAAATAATAAGTCTGAATTTACTGTATGTTATACTTTGAGATTTTAAAGTTTAATTGTATTATTATTTTAAAATGAATTTTTTAAATTTCTTTCTGATATTTGAGAATACTTTTCTAATTATTAAATCTTTCCACAAATTGAATTATTTTATTGCTGATACACCAAGGGAAATAAATAAATAATGTTACAAAGTTACACAAATTATATGGTGATAAACAACTTTTGCTGTCAATAAAAAATTGCATCTGTGAATTATATGTCACTGAGAATTATAGACAGGAAATTAAAAACTCTGTAAATTGAAAATGAATAAAATTTTGCTTAACAAACATAATTTGAAAAATGTTAGACTAAATAAAGTATTTAGTTTTGCTTAAAAAGTTGAGAAAGTTATACAGTAAAATTATAGATAAAACATTTTAAAGACTTTTTAACATTTTTCTCTTATTTGTAAATGTTTGTATAAATCTTGGACTGTTTGGGGTAAAACATATATCTCTGTGAAATTTAATTTACTCTGTCTGCTGACACACAACTTTTGAATAAAATAAGATCATACTGTAAAATATAAAATGAAGATTATATTATATTCAAATTATTGTCAGTTTTTCTCATTTGCACTGTAAAAGTGTCAAATGTGTAACTCCATTTTGTAAATGCTTCTCATACTAAAAAAATAGTATGCTGTGGAAAATGAGAGTTATCGCATTCAGAATCTATGTAAATTGAATATTACTCATTTTATCCTTGACATACATACATACATACAAGAAAGACATCAGTTGTACATGAAGTGTTTAGTCAGCAGAAAAGAGGGTAAGGGAAAGGGGGAGGAGATAGACAGTAGAGAAAGGTAGGATCCCTCTGAACGGCATACATAAGGCTACAGTATCCTCTATGTTTGATGTTGACATGCAGTTTTTAGGCTGCAAGGCTGTAGTCCTCTGAAGGGTCTAAAAGAAAACCTGAGTGTAGCGAACACCAATAATTTAATGCCACCACAAACAGTACCTGTATGACTTAGCAACATATAAAAAACATTAATAAAACTATTAATCAGATTAGACATAAATTTAACATTTAACATCATAAAGGTAAATAATAATAATATGAAAAAATATTTATCAGTTCCAAATGCTCCCGGGTCATTCCACAAAATCAAAATGTTTCAGGGCTGTTCAGATTCAGAACCATATTGAATGAGTTTCTTGTAATCAATACATTGCTGTGCTTGGTCAGTTTTTTCTTTTTCATACTTTAACCAAAATACTAGCTGTAAATCTTGCAATTACTGTGATTATTTTTGTAATTTCTTTCTGATTTTGCATTTATAATTTTATCATTTTTTTACCTTTGTTACTTTGTTATAACTAATAATTTTTTTGTTTATAAGTATTTTGTACTTTTGTTTTGGAATGATTTTTCTGTTTGATATTAGATTTGCTTACAACCAAAGAAATTTATAATATACCTTCTTATCTATATATTTTCTAACATTTTAAAATTGGCAATTTAAAAATTTTGTTTAAATTCCTATACCACTATGAATGTGGATGGATTGAGCCCTTTACCATACTTAGTTTAAGAAACTAAAATTTCTAGTTTCATCACTGAATACAGTAGACTATTGAAATGGAAATGACAGAGATAACTTTTCAGTTAATGAAATTCAGTTATGGAACTACAATTATTTTAAAGAGATTGTAAATATCACAATACAAACATTATTGTTAGACTTGAAGACATTATACAATTGTACCTCGTACTTTGAATGGCTCTAACTTCAAATGATTCAATGTTTGAATGATTCTTCAAAGTTCAAACTGCATGTGGAATGAAAAATGCACTTGAAGTATAAAATAAGCTTCTGAACAAAGAATATAATCACAAATTAGCAATAATGTATTAAAATAAGCTTCTGAACAAAGAATATAATCACAAATTAGCAATAATGTATTAAAATTCACAACTTAAGTGACTGCTAATTTGTTAGTAGTAAGGAAATGGAAGATACCACAGAATATAAGTAAAACAAATGAATTTTAATTAGGAAAAGATTTTTGGAAAATTCTCCACTGTTTTCATTTTTCTTTGGAGGGGACCAGGACCCCTTGGCTCCCACTGAGTGCCACTGTCAAACTGTTACATCACATAGCAGATCTGGCATGTTTAAAATACTGGAGTCTCTAGAAAATTATAAAGCCATGAAAAATTGGACTGCTGTCAACTTCAGGGAATTGGACAATTTATCAATGGTTCAAACTATAGTAAATTACTTCTGTATGCTATCAAGTTTATTGATCAAATATAATTAATAAAATAAGAATATTAACTTTTTTTCTTTATGATATACATTCTTTACATATGGCACATGTCTAAATCTTGGCTGTTTAAAAGTTCCATTTGAGTTCTAAATTCAATTTTGTATTCTTCTCTTTAATAGACTTATGTAATTTGAAGATGTCCAATTGATATGGATGAAAGCATTCATTATATTAAATACTTCTGTTGTTTAACCGGTTTGATGTACTGGTGTGTTTTTAGTTAAAGTATTAGTTTTTACTTTCTTCCATTTAATTAGTCTATTTAATTCTAATTAATTCTTCTAATTAATTAGTATTAGTAATTAATTATAAACTTTCTTAAATATTTTTGTTTCTTTACTACTTGCTTAGGCTTTTTTTTTTTATTTATTTACTATCAATATTTTCATTTTATATATTTTATTTCATAAAAGGTATTAATGGGTGGTCAGTACGCTAGTGATCCTATGAAAGAACAACTTGCTAAAGATAATGCTGTTGTGGTAAGTACATTAATTAATCTACAGTAAAATATGTCTATAAAGAATAGTTTACAAATGTAAAGATCCAAATGTGATAGTTATATATTAAAGCCAAATGATTGCCAGATTATATAAAAAGAAAGTAAAAACACACCGAATATGGCATTTACAGTTTTTTATTTTTGCTAGCGCTTTCAATGAACTTATGTTCATCAACTTCAGATGAACAATAAAAAACTGTTAATGCTGCACTCAGTGTGTTCTTTCTTTTTGTGATATTTGATATGAGGTTCAAGCTGTATTGTGTTATATTAAAATATTAATTTAATTATAATTGTTAAATTTACCAAGAGATGATGCCTAACATATGTTTCTAGTGTCAAATTACTTAGCATTTAATAAATAATAATAATAATAGTAATATAGTTCAATATAATCAGACAATTGTTTGGCTTTTAAAAATAGTATGTACAACATTAAGTTTTAAACAGTATTGTTATTTTGTATTTATTATTTTTATAATGAATAAATAGTATATATATATAGTATGAAATTATTAATAATTATTAGGTCTGTACTGAAGGCCGATTAATATTGGAATTTACATTTGATGATCTTATGAGGATAAAATCTTGGCATTTTGCAACAAGGCAACACAGAGAGTTAATTCCTAGAAGTTTGATTGCTTTGCAGGTAAAAACTGATTTAAATGTTTAATCTTTGCAATCCAAAGAAATATGATAATTAAAATTTTGAAAAATTTGCTAATTTAATATGTATTTTGACAAAATTTCTATTAATATACAGTAAAGTTGTTGATTTAATTTTTGTTATACAGCTCTCCCTTAATAGTCCGACAGGTATGGAACCAAAGGGGTGTTGGATTACCAAAAGTGTCCGGATTACCGAAAATAATTACATATTTTGCATTGTTTTGCTAGCAGTAGCTTACAATATTCCCTACTCCAACTGTTCAAAAAGAACTGCTCACAGAAAACACACGAAATGTGTGTCATCATGTAAGAATTGGATGGGGAGATTCACGTCACGACATGCTTCTGTGCAAGCAGACACGTAACGGGGATGGGTACCTTGACAGGAGGTGTGTCAGACTACTGAGCATGTCGGATTAAAAAACGTCGGACTATCAAGGGAGAGCTGTACTAAGATAATTAAAAATTATGATAAATTTTATTTGTTCTCTTAAGAATTATGAAGAGTATAGAAAATTTTAGTTTTTGCTTCTTGCTTAAATAATAAATGTTACTATAAAATAAAAGCCAGATTTATTTAACTTAACAAATATGCATGTTTAAAATCCATTGAACTTTATCTTACATTTATAAAATCTTTAGAATGAAATATTATTAAAATTTAAAAACTTTTTAAAAATATTTTTAAAAGGAAACTGTCTTTTGCTTTTATTTCTCAATTCTACTTCCATTTATGTTCTGTTCACCTGATGATGTGCTAATTATCAAAAGTGCTTATGATTAAAGTATGTATTGACTCAAAATACATACATTTGAGTCAATTATAATTTTTAACACTAAAGACAGTTTATTTTATGCTTAATGAGTATATCTTGTTGTAGGTCAGCATTATCTTTAAGATATAATCAATTATTTTTATTATGAAATTGTTATAATTGTTCAATTCTGATAAATTTGATAATTAATTATTTAATACATAAAAAAATATAAATTCGACTATTAACAAAGCTAAAAACTTTGTATTTGTCCTTCTTTTCGCCATTCTCACCATCAGCAATACTTTTAAAAAGTTCACAAAAAATGTATTAAATGTAAATAACGCCGGCCATGGATTTTATTATTTTTACTTAAAATTAATTATTTAGTTACCATATTTTATAAAAGTATATTTACTATTTTAATAATAAATTATTTGATTTTTATATTTATTTGCATTAAGTTATGATTATTTTTTTTAAATAAATGTAAATATTGTAATTGTGTATTATAATTATCAATATTTAATTAAACTTTTTGTTATAAATTGCAACCATATTACATTTTGTATGATTTTGAAAAATAGCAATTTTATATTATTATTAAGTAATATTGATAATAAATAATTCTCTGTGTATAAAAATTTAAATAATACATTTTATATTTATACAGGATAAAAAATTTATATAAAATTGATTCAAGAAAAAATTATAGTGAATGATATTTATACATTATCTATAATTTTACTGTGTGACATTGACCAATGATGGCAAATCAATGGCACACTTTCCAAATTTTTTCTGATATGCATCAAATTTAATAATAAATTTTTATTTTATTAGATTTTGTCTAATAAAATAAAAATTTATCCCTCTTGTCAGAATTCATGGCAATGAATTTAACGACAAGGACAAATGACAAATCTAAACAAGTTATCTCATAGTTGACCTATCCAGAGAATTCTGTTCCATGTACTAACTACAAGATAGCTTGATCAGCTTGCATAAAACCAAATATAACTGTAGATTATAATAATGGTTTGTCTGGCATAAATAAGTCATATCAAATACTTAATTATTGTTTGGCATTAAGAAATATCATCAGCTGACTAAAAATAATTTGCATTGCATATTCTGAAAATAATAATATATATGTACATCTTTTTCCATCAGATAACTGATTTCAACAACAAAAGGTCTGAAATATTTGATTGGAAATAAAATGCGAAACATTGCAAATAGAATTAAAACTGAAAGCAAATTTCATTATTTTGAAGTTATAATACTGGAGGAACTATCCTGATTAAGTTGTGTCAATTATGCATAATAGTAAAAAGGTTTCAAAACATGCTGTTACTGTCCAATGTGTATGGATAAGCCAGCTCTTTGTATGGAAGTTAAAAAATAATAATAAACATCTTTAAACACAATATTTTCATGAGTTTTAATGGCACTGTACTTTGTAATATTATTTTTTTAATTGTTTTGTTCTCTGGTGCCATATCTCATTTCTCAGCTTTATTTCAGATGCCAACTATTATTTATATTTACAACTCCACAATGTCACTCAGCCAGCTAATGTTTTACCTGGCGAGGTATATATATATATGTATGTATGTATAACAAACATTGCAAAGCTTGATGAGTATATGGAATGTCTACCTCTAGTAACAAATTACTTTGTATTATATTTAAATTAGTGGAATTATAGCCTGATTATTTAGGTTATCATTTGGTGACATTTATATATACTTATCAGGCTTTGTAGTATTTGTTATACTTATATATACATATATACCTCACTGGGTAAAACGTTAGCCGGCTGAGTGCCATGCTGGAGTTGTACTTAGGCCATGAGCATAGGAGTCATCCCCAGCCAGCGTTGTGATTATTTATATTTATTTGTTACAAATGTGTTTATTTCTAACATTAAAGGTAAGATCACATTTTACCAGATAACTTGTAGATGAAATATGATAAAAGAATGCAAACTACAAGTTAACTTGGTAGTCAACATTTTAAACACAAGTGATATATTTTTCTTTTAAAGTCATTCTGTCATTTTTTCATATTTTTTAAAGTTATTTATTTGCTGAAGATAATGTTAATAAAATGTCATTTCTAAAAGTGGCAATAAATTGAGTATTGAATTAAGCCTGAAGTACCTTAAACAACAAGAATTGCATGTAACTAACTGATATAGTGGAACCTCGCTTAACTTTTCAACAGTAGACTAGTCAGGTATGCTTCTACCCCCAGTAGTGGAGAATAAACATGGGAAATTTTTAAAGTATTTTTACGCACATTTTTTCTCATTACCGTTTCAGAAAAAGATTTTGTAAACAGTTATGTCTAGTAAAAAAAAGTATTTTTTTATTGTTACATAATTAATTTTTTGGTGAAATTTTTTTTCGCAGTAGTTCTTGGCGATACCTCCAAAAGAATTTAACAGATATATCTGTCTTTCATCACTGCCACACGATCGCCCTGGACGGATATATCTGTCCTTCCCTGCTGAGTGGTTAATGAGCATAATTTGTTCCAGAATTTTACTTGTAATGTGAAACACTCATTAAGCAAAACAATTATGCTCATTTCTAGGCACATCAAAGACTTCTTAGGACAAGAAATTTTGTAAGTTTGTTTGTTTGTGGCATTGTTCCATCTGTGCAAAGCTTTTGTAGAAACCTTTGTGTTTTGAACAGTGGTGTCTTCAAATATGATCATTTTTTTCAACATTTTCAGGAAATTTACCTTTCAGAACTATGAGGAACAGTTCCACATTGACTGTCGAGAGAGTTTTGGTCAGAACTGCTAACGCATTCTTCATTCTGTACTTTTATGAATATGGTTTTCCATGGAATGGTGAATTCTTTATCTGGATTTGAACCTGAACTAATGAAAATGTTCCATGGGTTTTTAGGAATAATCAAATTAGTTTAGAGTATTTTAAATTTAGAAAGTTATTTTAAAAATTTATATTTTTATTAGAGTTTGTAATTATTTGTTTTATTAGTAACCAACAAATATATCCAGCATTGCCCATTGAAACTGAAAAGTGGCTAAATGTTAAAATGAAAACCATATTACAGATTTTGTTATTTTAGCATACAGTTGTTTATTGTGAAGTGTCGAGGAGATCAAATCATGGGATGAGTGGGATGTCCAGATTTCACGAAAGTCTATTTTTTCCCCAAAATTCCAGAGAATAAGTACGAAAAGTTTGGTCTGGATTGGACAAAGGGTTTAGGAGTTAATAAGGGGGAATGAAATCAGGAGGGTAAGGAGTCCAGGTTTTGTGATATTCTATATTTTCCTCAGTTTCCAAGTTAAACAAGAATAATTTGGAGCAGATCAACCAAAAAACAAAGAATAGAGAGATAAATATTTTGTATCTTATATAAAACTAATGAGGGCTCGTTTAGTCTAAAGCAGAACTGCTTAGTCTATTGGACTAAACATTACATAATAATTTTGAGGAACCATCTAGCTTAACAGTTCTGATGGAACAGTTCCACACTTGGATCAGTTCCAGTTCCAGCAGAAGCAGAACTGGATCTCCCACCAGTAGTCTTCAGCACCCTGGGTCATCTGCTGGTGACTTCTGGTTCACTACCATTGGTCCTACTGAATTACCCTGTTCTAGAGATTTTATGGTTGTAACCTGTTTGAATGAGAATAACAATGATGTTATCCATAATTTATTCTCAGTACTCCAGAGAAGAAGATAACTTACCAGGGGACCTATTCTGAGCTCTTCTGATAACTCAATGAGAGCGATACATGGGACATTCGATAAGTCCCCTTAGCGAAAGACAGTTAACAAACCTTAGACAAATCACTATTAACATTAAATATGTTTCACTACAGGTAATCAGTCGAGATGTGTCTGGGTTCCATGCTATCGATAGCTATTATGCTTTAACCAATCACAGTTTAGTTAACATTGTATTTTTGTCACGTGACTGCAACCCGCCATTTTCTGAGCGAAGCACATGGTTTTAGCATTGTCATGTAACAGTGCTAGTGAAATAATTTTGTTTTAAAATGTCGAAGAAAGGCAAACATAGCAAGCGAACTACAAGTTGCAAGTTTGAGATGCTTGTTAATGTTATGGAAAACAACCCTAAATTAATGTCAGGGAAGTTAGATGCTTCCTTTACCGTAAAAGATCGCCAGAAATTGTGGCAAGAAATAGCCGACCATCTGAATTCCAATGGAGTTGGCTAACAAAAAGACCCAGAAAGATGGCAAAAAGTAACTGATAGCTTTGAATATAAATATATAAATATCATTTTAATTTATACATATGCAAATGAAACCTATTTCAGAAGTAATGTTCACGCTATAGCTACTTACTTTAAATTTTAACAAGAAAGCAATTATTCATACAATATTCATAAATAGTTAAGGTAATTATTTTTAATACAACAACATAGTTTATTAACTCTCTCTAATTGCCCGTGAAGTAAAACCATTCTTACACCAAAAGATGCCATGTTGTTTACACTTTCGTTATGTTCCTAACGGTAGCTCGAGCGTGATCGATAACAAAAGCTTGCACATGGCTATCAGAACCGAAAACAAAATGTACGGCTCGGAATAGCATTTTCACAGTTGATTAAACACAAATCACATGGTTCTGATAGAAACTGGTTTTTATTGTATTTTGTTAGCTTAATGATAATACTCAGAATAGATCCCCTGGTGATAGATCTTTTTGTGCTCTCTGTAGCATGAAGACTTTTCACCAGAACTACCACCAGAATATTTATCAATTTTTTTTGAATCAGACTAGCTTTCAACATTCTTTTAATAGATGCCACCTACTCATTTCTCAATAGGTTCTTTTGTGCTAGGGAAAGCGGGAAAAAGATCTATTGAGGAACAAGTCTGTCTGTCTTTCATTAATCTCAAAATGAAGTTAGATAGGTAAAAAGCAAGAACAGATATAGAAAGCTGGTGACCCTGGTTAACTATATACAAACTTCCAATCTGGATCAGAAGTCACATGATTTCAATTCAAAAGTTTCTTTAGAATGGAGTTAGATGAAAATCGAGACCAGATGCAGAAAGCTTAGGACCAGAAACCCTGATAAATTTTTAAATTAAAATATGATTGTTATAATGCTGAACTGTAATTTTTAATGTCACAATAAGTAATTAAGATTTTATTTTCTTTGTTTTATGATTGTTGGTTGGTGTTGTTTCCTTTTGAAAGTTTGTATTTTATTAGTTTTTAGCCATTTAAGTTTTTAGTTTGTATTTTGGTTGTTTTAGAACTAAAAAAATGCTTGATTTTGGTTTGATGTTAACACTAGAAGCACCATATTAGTCAGTTTGACTGGAACATGATTTTATAAGCTCAAATTTTAACACTTGCATTTAATTTTGCTTTCATGATTTTATTTTTTATCTAAAATGAATGCTTAAAACATTTTGACGATATTTTTAATAATTAACAAGTATATATCAAGTTATATTACTACTATTGTTATTAATTAATTATTAATTAACAAGTATTATATGTACATGTTTACTTAAAAGTGCCAAATACAGTTGTAATGACTGGTATTGAGAATACATCTAGTACAGTCGATCTGCCTATAACACGGTAGATATGTTCTGGTTTTTATGAATCCATTTTCTATGAGTCCAGCCAATCACAGCCTGGCACGTATGCAGTTTACGGACTACGGCTGTTTGAAAGGTTTTCTTTCATAAAATTAATCGATTCTACACTAATTTCACCCAACATTTCCAAAACATGTATAATTTTTTGGGAATAATCCATGAACTATGCTATAAACAAAAAATTGGAGGATTACTTACTGAGCATGCACTGTTCGACTACGCCATTGCTTAAGCTTATTTTTGTCATGGAGCTTGCCATCGAATGGTGCTTGCGTGCTTCCTGATAAATTACTTTTTTTGAGAAAAATTCACTGAACTTTGGAGACAATCATTAATATAAATATAATTTTTGTGGACATTAAATAATAAATGGTTTTTAGTAGGTCTGCTGCTCGTTTAAACTCAATGGTTTGTGCAATATCTGCTATTGGTCTAGATTCGACTAATCCTGTCGCAACACAAGTCGGTGATGACGTTTTACCGAATTATAGGAGTTTTGTTTAGCATGTTTGCATGAATACTTTTGCAATTTTTTCAGTGTGGTATAGGAATCCGAACTATAGGAACCCGTGTTATAGGGGGGTTGACTATACAGTGTCAGATGATTACAGTGATATCAATTTGCCATCTTTTGGTGTTTCTACAGCAAATCAGCATGGTTAGAAGAAGAATTGAAAAATTTAGCAACTTTCAAATTTAGAAGTAAACTAATTGAAAGATAGGATTGCTTGAGAAGTTGTAAAACCTGAAAATTCAAGCAGATTGATGATACAGGAAATCCTTATTTATTCAAACTCAGATAGTTCAAAATCCCATTAGTTTGTAACTATACTTTTGTCCCGATCAGGGATATAGAGATTTGCATGTTAAGGAATTCGGTTAGTTTGAAATATGGCTATTTCAAAATTTGAAGTAAAAGTTCTGTCCAAATTGTGATATGCATATGTTAACTCATTTGTTTAGATTGAAGTGCCTTCATGCTGTAAAAGAACAATAGACTGAGAACAACTACTCAGGTTAATATGGTTTTGCTTTTACAGTAACACATTTTCAGGTGTCACCTTACACATGGACTACCCTTTTTTTCCTCTTATCTCATAAAATACAGCTGGNTATTTGTTTAGATTGAAGTGCCTTCATGCTGTAAAAGAACAATAGACTGAGAACAACTACTCAGGTTAATATGGTTTTGCTTTTACAGTAACACATTTTCAGGTGTCACCTTACACATGGACTACCCTTTTTTTCCTCTTATCTCATAAAATACAGCTGGGTTTTGGGATTGCAAGATTAGACTACAAGTAACAGATTGAGATATCTAGGTTCTAGGTTGAGGTTCTAGATTACTACATTTGGGCGACTTACTATTTTTTGGGCCACTTTAAAAATAATTTGGACTACATTTTAAGGAACTATGGTTAATTTTTTATAAAACTTGTTGGGCATTTTCTACAGAAATATGTAAATCTCTGATATTTCAAAGTCACTATTATTTTGTCTTTGAATTTCAAACTAATGAGAAATTCCTGTATAAGGCCACATGGACAATCTTCCAAGAGAATGTCTCCCGAGAAGACATTTTGTGGAAAACTGGATCCTATTTAGATGTTAATGTCTCACCAAGTGTTGCCACACAGTCAGTCCTTTGGTGATATGTGAACCCATGACCAACTATCAGTGTTATAAGTATTCAGTGGTTTTATCCACTTGGCCAGTGGTGGGACCTTCATTTTAGAGCTGGCAGAAAGCTTGCGAAGTAACACATTAGCGATAAAAGTACCTTCTGTTCCAACATCACAAACACTGAAATCAATTGATGACATCAAGATGTTCTTGTTTTATTAGAAAGTTTTGTAACTTAAATCTTCATTATTTTTGAATTGTTTGTAACATCTAATTTACTAATAAATTAAATAAAGATAATGACAAGCTTTTTTTGTTTTGTTATCAATTTTATTCTTCTTTTAATATAATACAGAATCTTTATTAAAAGTGTTTTAAAGTTTTAGATATCATTTACAAACATCTCAGAACCCAATTTATTATTAATAAGCCAAACAACTACTGCATTACCAGATTACAAATAATTGCAAAAAACTATCCCAATGTAAACTGGTAATTGTATATACCATTTCTACTTTGATCCATTAAAAACTACAGTGTTTTGTATTTTTTCCAACATATAAAATGTTAAAAATAATTTTTATCATTATGAAACACTTTTTTGCTGTATGCATTTATTCATACTTATATTTTGATTTATAGTGATTGAAAAATATATTTGTGAACAAATTTCTTTCAAATATTTATTGTATGTGTGTTTTATAAAAATTAATTACACAGAATAAAATAAAATACAGAAATCATATCAAATTATTTATTTCAGCTATAATTAAAGTTTGAAATGTAATATTTGTATTAAATTTATTTGATGATAAAAATGTTATATCATACTTTTTCAGACACAACAACAAGATCCTGCTATGCTGGAACAACTTTCTAAAAATATTACTCGTCAAGGTTTAACAAATTCAACACTGAACTACCTCAGAGTAAGTATATTGAACAAATATAATAAAAAATATAAACAATAAGTTGTTCCAAATAATTGATATTTTTTATTTCTTAACTCTTTCTCTGCCCTACTAGTTTTTTTTTTTTTTCTTGTCAGTTTCCACTAAATTGACTTACTTAGCTGTTCTTCCATGATAGTCTCATGCTAGGCTATATGACAGTAAAAATTTCAGTCAAAAAAAAATTTCAGCTTATCACAGGTCTCAAAACAACTGCAGCAGAAATTTGTTGCCTTTCCTTTCATTATATATGAATTCATATATTAGATTATTAAGAATAGTAAAATTAAAATATTTTACTTAGTATTTTAGATATTTATTGTTTATATTTTAAAGATAAATTCAAAGGAATATGGATTTATTAATTAACTAGCAAAGAATGCTCAATGTTGGCAGAGAGTAACTATGCAAAATTTGGTCACAGGATTTGGCAATTTGTGAGGTTGAAATCAAGGGAAAGAATGAGGGTCCAAGTTTTAAAGTAGCATATATAAAATTTCTCCAGATCATTGAAGAGGTTTGGGAGTTTTGGGCAAGAGTTGAAATAAGAGAGAAGTGATGAGTCAGGGTTTTATGGTAGTCTATTCCCTCATACCCAAAGCTGACTAGATAAGATAATCAGTTTAAAAAACCCCACTAAGTGGTAAAGGAGATTGACCTTGAATGGAGTAGACAAATGACAATGTGAGACAAATGTCTGCAGTAAAAACATCTTTCTTGTATATTTTCCTTTTTTTTAATATGAATATACTATATAGCCTATATTCATCTGGAGGAATAAGCTTTCTAATATTGAAAAAATTTTAAAACATTCTTGCTTTATATGTTAATATAAATTTATATTATATCTTTTATTCAAATATTTAAATTAGTGTTTTTTTACAATTCTATATGTATAGAAATAAAATATAATATACATATTTTTCAAATTATTTAATAATATGTAAGTGATTTCTTATTACTCTTGGATTATAAAATAAGTATTTTGTCATTTCTAATCTTTTCAGCTGTGTGTCATATTAGAACCGATGCAAGAGCTTATGTCAAGACATAAAGCTTATGCTCTAAGTCCTAGAGATTGTCTTAAAACCACACTGTTTCAAAAGTGGCAACGCATGGTTGCACCACCAGGTATGAGTTTTTTAATTAATTTAAGAAATGTTGAAATTAAGCTAATTAAATTATTATAAATATTCCATATTGTGTAAATGAATATTTATAATCCTATATCTTATAAAAAAAATTATAAAGTCTTATAAAATTTTTGATGGACTTATTTGGAATTAATTTTGTTTTTAAAAAATTAAAAGTTTTGGGGTTGACTACACCTATAAACACTATACTTATGGAACTCAAAATTGTGTATAAACACAGTGTTTGTGGCACCTGTACCATAAAGCTGTGCCATAAAATGTTCATGGCATGGGTGCACAAACACTGTTTATACACGATTTTGATTTCCATAAATACAGTGTTATAGGTGTAGTCTAACCACAAAATACCATATTACAATTTGTTTATATTAAGCAATTATGGCATTCATATTTATGGAAATTGGCTCACTCACTCTGCTTCTGTGCCAAACTTCCATTCATGCCATAATTGCCTATATTATAAACTAATTGCATAATATACTATCAGTGGCAGCCTTAGGGGGTGGCGAGCAGGGCAATCGCCCGGGACCTCGCTCTTGGAGGGGCCTCGCGCAACAACCAAGTAGAAAAAAGTTGATATTTAAAACTTTTTATTTTNTATTTTTTTTTTTTTTCTTGTCAGTTTCCACTAAATTGACTTACTTAGCTGTTCTTCCATGATAGTCTCATGCTAGGCTATATGACAGTAAAAATTTCAGTCAAAAAAAAATTTCAGCTTATCACAGGTCTCAAAACAACTGCAGCAGAAATTTGTTGCCTTTCCTTTCATTATATATGAATTCATATATTAGATTATTAAGAATAGTAAAATTAAAATATTTTACTTAGTATTTTAGATATTTATTGTTTATATTTTTAAGATAAATTCAAAGGAATATGGATTTATTAATTAACTAGCAAAGAATGCTCAATGTTGGCAGAGAGTAACTATGCAAAATTTGGTCACAGGATTTGGCAATTTGTGAGGATGAAATCAAGGGAAAGAATGAGGGTCCAAGTTTTAAAGTAGCATATATAAAATTTCTCCAGATCATTGAAGAGGTTTGGGAGTTTTGGGCAAGAGTTGAAATAAGAGAGAAGTGATGAGTCAGGGTTTTATGGTAGTCTATTCCCTCATACCCAAAGCTGACTAGATAAGATAATCAGTTTAAAAAACCCCACTAAGTGGTAAAGGAGATTGACCTTGAATGGAGTAGACAAATGACAATGTGAGACAAATGTCTGCAGTAAAAACATCTTTCTTGTATATTTTCCTTTTTTTTAATATGAATATACTATATAGCCTATATTCATCTGGAGGAATAAGCTTTCTAATATTGAAAAAATTTTAAAACATTCTTGCTTTATATGTTAATATAAATTTATATTATATCTTTTATTCAAATATTTAAATTAGTGTTTTTTTACAATTCTATATGTATAGAAATAAAATATAATATACATATTTTTCAAATTATTTAATAATATGTAAGTGATTTCTTATTACTCTTGGATTATAAAATAAGTATTTTGTCATTTCTAATCTTTTCAGCTGTGTGTCATATTAGAACCGATGCAAGAGCTTATGTCAAGACATAAAGCTTATGCTCTAAGTCCTAGAGATTGTCTTAAAACCACACTGTTTCAAAAGTGGCAACGCATGGTTGCACCACCAGGTATGAGTTTTTTAATTAATTTAAGAAATGTTGAAATTAAGCTAATTAAATTATTATAAATATTCCATATTGTGTAAATGAATATTTATAATCCTATATCTTATAAAAAAAATTATAAAGTCTTATAAAATTTTTGATGGACTTATTTGGAATTAATTTTGTTTTTAAAAAATTAAAAGTTTTGGGGTTGACTACACCTATAAACACTATACTTATGGAACTCAAAATTGTGTATAAACACAGTGTTTGTGGCACCTGTACCATAAAGCTGTGCCATAAAATGTTCATGGCATGGGTGCACAAACACTGTTTATACACGATTTTGATTTCCATAAATACAGTGTTATAGGTGTAGTCTAACCACAAAATACCATATTACAATTTGTTTATATTAAGCAATTATGGCATTCATATTTATGGAAATTGGCTCACTCACTCTGCTTCTGTGCCAAACTTCCATTCATGCCATAATTGCCTATATTATAAACTAATTGCATAATATACTATCAGTGGCAGCCTTAGGGGGTGGCGAGCAGGGCAATCGCCCGGGACCTCGCTCTTGGAGGGGCCTCGCGCAACAACCAAGTAGAAAAAAGTTGATATTTAAAACTTTTTATTTTATCCTTGGCTATTAGTTATAACAATAAAATAAATTTAATTTATAGTACAGTATATATTAATATTAATAAGTGCATACTATTTCAATTCACATACTTTTCACAAAGGACAAGGGCCTCGCAAAGATCTGCCGCCCAGAGCCTCACAATGGATAAGGCCGCCGCTGTATACTATTATTGCATATTTAAAAATTATGCTTATTATATGGGAGAGAAATTGATAAAAACAATTTTTTTCACTTCATGCTGGGAATGTTTTATGGGAAATGTTTTTATTATTAGTTTCTTTTTACTGTCATCCCTGTTGCTGACCTCTGTTTATTTAGATTAGTCCTACAAATACCCAGGAAGAATAACTGCACTTTCTCAGTGTGATATAAGTTAGTTTAGTAATTACATCTGTTCAAATGTGACATTTGTTGTTTTGGTAGAAGTTATACTATGGATGTTCAATTAAAGCCTGTAAACAGCCTTATAGCAAGATAGTGAAACAATATACAGCAGTTCTCATTATATGGACCAAACTAAAAATTACTTAAATTCCTTTTATAATCCGTTACTGGTTATATCACTTGAGTGTAATTTCCATTGCCTCATGGGAGAGCAATCTGTTTGGCTCAGCTGTAAAATATCTCAGCTAAACAAAAATGTTTAAAAATCCAGCTGTTTTATTCTGAACAAACATTGAGAAAGGCTAAAGAGCCTTTCTCAATGTTCATAATGGCCATTATCAGAATGCAGAATCTGATGACCATTGAAAGTGATCAAAAATATTTTCTTACTTCAACAAATAAAATACATTGGTTTCTAATAAAATGCTGCTTGCATTCTAAATGCTTTTTACTCTGATTAGTTTTATCCTTGCAAAAATGCTCACTTTAAAATTTAATAAAATTATTTTCTTAAAATTAGCATTTCTGACTATTTTAAATAGTTATTTTCAGATTTTCAGAAATGGAAAGAATTGTAATTAATTTTTCCAAATATGTAAAATTCAAAATAAACTGAAAAGTAATATTATAAATAATAAAAGTTGTTTAAAAAATGTGCCAGGAATTTAATTAAAAAAATCATTATAAGCAACCTTATTAACCCAATGCAAAGCAATAACACACCAACAACTGCTGTAAATCATCTGGCTATAATTTGGAATAAATAATTACAAATTACAAATGAATTTGGCATTAGAGGGAGGCGTTAAGCACCATTAAAAGTAATAATTAAACTGGAAGAAAACAGCTTTGCTGGGTATTTGGCTGACTGAGTGTCTTGTGTGGATGTTTACTGGGCAAGGGCTCTGAATGCACCCCTAGTCGGCACCATAGTAACTGACAATGGTTATAGTTTAACGTTAAATATACTGGAAGAGGAGATTGGACCTCCAGTCCGATCTCCTCTTCCAGTTCGGGCCAATTCTTTTCTTTCAGTTTAATCTAAAATTATTTAATTAGATTGCAGCGCCACAGTTCTAGTGGAAATTTAAATTTGCTGACTAGAAAGCTTTTGGTTAATTGACGTTTCGGTTGATCGACATTCGGATAATCGATGCTCTATTGCAATGATTCTCAAACTTTTTCGATCCACCGCCCCCTTTGTTCCATAAAGTTATACCCAACGCCCCCTAACCCATTTTCTCTTGTGTGAGAAAAGGATTGGAAATATTCTTAGGAAAACTTTTCTATGAATCTCACACTTTGTGCCCTTACTGTACATTGTTCTCATCATCTGGAAACCATTAAACGCAATGTTTCCTCTTATCAGCCCCAATTTTGCCTTTGGTCACCGTTCAATACCCTGCCTCTATCATAGATCTATTCATCGCGCCAGAAGGGGGCGTTATTGCTTACTTTGAGAAACGCTGAGCTAAAATAAAAGTCAATGTGTTAGAAATATTCAAGTTGTGACCTTCAATAAAAAATAAAAAATATATAAAATGTCAACATTTTATATATATTCCGTCGAATTTTTATATATAGAATTTGTCTGCCGTCGCCCCTCTATATTTCCTTAACGCCCCCCAATTCTCTTTGAGCCTTCTACTGCCCCCTGAAAGCCTCCAGCGCCCACAAGGGGGCATTATCGCCCACTTTGAGAAACGCTGCTCTATTGTATATTCATAAATCTAACATAAAGATGAAGGTAAACTTAAATCAGAAGTTGTGACTCTTTTTTTAATAGTAAAAACATAATCTGAAAATTGCTATTTAAAATAGAACTAGGATATTGTGCTACTTTGTCTTGTGATAGAATTGAGATGGAGCTGGAAAGAAAGAAGCGATCCTTGTATCTGAAGTTGAAACAGGCAAACTTTACATTTGCCACCACAAAAGAAGATATTTTGCACCTCCTGGCCACAGGAGATGCAAATCCTTGCACCAACCAGGTATGGAGAGATGATCCTTGCATTTGCCAACATAGAAATTTGGATCACCTCTATCGAAGAACAATGCAATCGATGGAAATGGCAATTCTTTGTTCTTGTATTTTGTTCGTTTTTCGCACCTATTCTCTGTTTGGCACACACAATGCTGTTTTTATTTTTGACCCATAGGTCTAAATTTCATTAGGCATGCTCAGTTGCAAGAGAGAGCATAAACGCTGTCACTTTAATACCTCTGTGTATTGAACTTTTATATAATTAATTATTATAAAATGGCAAAAAGTATAATTTTGAGGGTAGAGATGAGTTTTATAAAAAAAAAATATGTAAATAGTAATAATCAGTAAAATTTTCATTTAAGTCCAACCACACTTGAGATAGGAGACATGACCTGTCTATCTCCCCACTCCCTCAACCTTTAACCAACAAAGTTAATAGCATCAATCCCCCTAATACACAAACTTCCCTGAAAAATTAGAGAAATGTTTGACAAGGATACAGGAGTTTGGGTGAACAAAATTATATTCCCCCATACACACACACAAACGTCCATACATACAGAAAAACCCAAGTTTTTTGCATTTCTTAATATTTTAAGGTCATGAGTCCAGAAATGTAAAATCTTATGGGATCACTTTTTGATGGATCACCATACTTTTTATTTATTCTTTATAACAGCCACAAAAGCCACAATTATACAAAAATACTGATTGGTCAAAAAATATGTTTGCTTTTGTTTATTAATTTTGTAGGGAAATTAACTGTTTTCAGGACTTGATAAGTATCTCTAAATAAATTAAAAATGTGTTTTCAGAATTTATTATTGATTTGTTTTTTAAGTATTTACTGGAATCTTAATGAGAATATTTTTCTCCGTAGAATGGATTCAGTATTAAAGGCAAATGATATTTTTCTTATTTAAAGTTATTGATGTAACTGCATAACTCTTAAATTCATTACTAAATTTCATAATTGTAAGCATTTATGAGATTTAGTACATACATGTATTGGTAAATATTTATTTAAATAATAAATTTATAAATCTAATTAAAAAGTTGTGTCAAAACTATTTAAATTTTTTATTTCTTAAATTAACTTAAACAATTTATAATAATTTTAATAATATAATCTGCATTTAACAGTATAGTATATTTTAATAAACATTTCATAGATTGTACAGTTTAGAGTTGAAGCTTCTTATTTGTTTATCAAAATTTAATATGAAAGAAAACTTAAAATAGAAGTAATAATTCTGTTTTACATTTTTTTCATGGATAGAAACACAAAGACCACCAAGTAAAAGAAGAAAGAGAAAATCATCAACAACAAACAATGCTGGTAATACGACAGGTGGTACTGGAACTGGCAAAAAGAAAAATATGTCTCCAGGTCCTCCTAATTTTTCTCTAGCATCTCAGGTATGTATTTTAGTATATATGAAAATTAAATTATTAAAATTGCTGTTAGTAATAAAAATTTTTCTTTACACTATTTAAATATTAATATAATAAAAATTATAGAAAAACTGTATTATATCATGGTACTATATTCAATAAAGTTTCAATTCAAACTAATAATTTTCATTATCAATAAGAAAATTAATTTTACCATTTCAGTCATAAAATTATCAATTTTTTGAGTAAATCTGTATACTTTATATTATCTTAAGATTTTAACATTTACATTGATGTTAACCTTTCATTAAAGTAATCTTTAATAGCAAGGCATTAATCAATATAAATAAAACTCACTAACCTTATGTGGGCCTTGCATTTAATTGTGAAAACTGTAACAGTTTTTGCAATTAAATGCAAGGCACACATAAGGTTAGTGAGTTTTATTTATAACCTTTTATTGTTTGCATGACATCTGATAAACTGTGATTTTTTTTTTTTTTTTTTTTTTTAATTTAGTCAATAATAATAAGTTATTACAATGCAGTTAATTTTCTACTTAAGTGTCTTGTCACAGTGATATGTCTCCACTAGCTTAGCTAATACAGTTTGAATTATTGTAATAAAATGCATGAGACTTTATTTTGTGAGAATTAGATTATATTATGTGCATTCCTGTATTACAATATGCATGTTTTTTTAATCTGGCAATCAAACATCTCTGTATATAAGAACATTATAATTACTTTTTTTATTAATTGTAATATTAAGAAGATAATTAACGTTTTATCTGTAACTTCATAGACAAAAACCATTTGACTAAATACAAGTACAGGGTGTCCATAAAGTCTGTGTGCAATTTAATTAATTTATAACTTTATTAGTACTTGTGATAAAGAAATTATGTATAATGTATTGGAAATAAGAAAATCTATATATTTTTTTATTGTTTTATTGTATTTTATTAAGTTTCCACATGTCCACCATCATTAGTAATACAAAGGGTAATACGATTTTGTAGTTCTCTAAAAATATTTGCCAATTGATTTACAGTAATGCCTGAAATCACATTAGTTAATTTAGCTTTCAAGTCTTCTAATGATTCAGGTTTGGTTGCATACACTATTCTTTTCACATGTCCCTATAGAAAAAAAAAATCTAATGGAATCAAGTCTGGCAAATTTGGAGGCCAAGAAAATGGTCCATCACTTGTATTGAAGAGTTACTAAATAATTTTACTTAAAACTGTGTAGTACATTAAGCTTTCTGATACTTTTTACAGATTTTTTTTCCTATCACAAAGTTATAAATTTTTTAAATTGCACACAGACTTTATGGACACCCTGTATTTGTAATTTGACTATTTTATATTTCTATTATATAATAATCAATGTTGTGATATGTGCAAAAATGAGAGGTTAAGATTAGAATCTTTCAATTATTATGTTTTAACAAATAAAAACATTTTTATAAATTAATAATAAAATATTTAGTAATCATAATAATTATAATGAATATTATTACAAATTTGTTCTTGTGCATTAATTATAATTAGAAATAGCTTTCAAAATTTTCATTGTTTTATTAAAAGCTTTGAAAACTAAATTTTTTTATTTAAAAAATTTCAATTTTATGATGTAACATATGTAGCATAAAATAACATTAAACTAGTAAAAAGAAAGAGGGAAGAATTAATTTATTTGACATAAATGAAGTACTGTATTTTATTTGTTAATATGATTATGATATCATTCTGAAATTAACTGAAAATGAATTTGACTCAAATTATGAAAGTAATATTACAAAAGGTATTGAAATTGTGGAAGAGTAAATTTAAGAAAAAGACTTTTAAAAAATTGTTGTTAATAAAATAGAGACTTAAAATACATGAAAATAAAACACAAAAGCCAATAAAACATAAAGAAAGATATAAGATTAGTACTCTTACTATTTTAGTATTAGGCTACGGTTAATATGGATGCGAATTCTGACGAAATTTTGTTCTGACAAGTATGTCTGAAATCCTCGTCAGAACAAGATGGTTACACTGTGCGCGTTTTCTGATAGTCAGTACGTTTCTGCCTCCCAGCAAAATGGACGAACTTGATGAGTTTTATTTTCTTGAAAGTCCGTTGATTAAGTTATTGTTGATAGGTGGTGGGAAAACAGAACATGTTAACCACTTATTTTCCATAAGAGATGATAAGGGAGAGTTCCAAATGTTATATCAAGATTTGTGGGACAACCCGCAAAAGTTTTTTGAGTATTTCAGAATGAGACCAAAATGAGAAATATCTCTGTTGTGATAGTTTTTGTCTTTCATGTCCCACAAACACCTATTCCCGAACACAAGACTAATCAATTTATCAATTTCCATGTTGTAAAAACCAAAACACTCAAAATTCAACATCAGAACGCATGAAAAAATCAAACTCATTTGAATGCTTGAATGATTCTGACTACATCATTCGTGTTCTGACATGCCCTTCACTGCCAAAGTAAACACTCTCATTGGAAAACAGGTATTTGTTTGTTTGGATGAATTCATCAGAACTCGTCAGATCAAAATTTCATCAGAATTTGCATCCATAGTAACCGTAACATTATACTGTAGTAAATAATACTAAAATACTGTACTAACATGATCACCCCAGCACCTTCTTCACTAATATTACTGTCACTCTCAAATAGTAAATTATATTTAGTATATCCATTGTATTACTTACACTATATATTTTTAAAGGATTTGACTGCAATATTCATATTAATATTCTTAACTGCATTTGTCCTTTAATGATTGCTCAGTTTTATTATACCTTCACTTTTTAAGAAGCAGCGAGACTTTTTAAAGTATTTATAAGAGGGAGGAAAACATTTTATGTTAACAAATATAATACTCATTGACCTTTACCTATTTAAGAAGTTATTAGAAGCTATAAAATACTTTCTAGAATTTCCAAAATATTGTTACATTTGTGAGGCTCTGGAAAGGTCCGAACCCTCACTAAAATTCGCGTTAAAATAATTATTTTAGAGAAAAAATATATAGTAGTTAGAAATAGATTTTTATTTTATGAAAACGCGACACTAGACAATAGAAGACTTTTAAACAATAAAAGAATGTAAGTCCGTCGATCATTTCCGGTTGGAGATCGGATTAAACTTCGATTTTGACCTCTCCCGCGCCCCCGAAAGTTTTCGAATTGTCATCAGGTGACGAGGAGAGACCAATCGGAAAGGGGAATCTGAGAGAAAACAGATAAAACCCCGGAAATTTGAGGACGCGACGGCTTCTTCTCCTGAAAGTTCCAAGTGACAGACCTGTTGTTGTGTGTGTGTCTCGCACCCATCTTCGTCTCCATCTCCCGACCTCGGATCGACATCTTTCCATCAAC